AAGCCGTTGTAGTCTGTTTGGCACCAATTGTGAAAGGGGCTTAAAGGAGTGACCGGTGCTAATGAATTAGTCTATTCAAGAGATTGTAGTATACAGTACCGTAATCTGCAAATGCATACAAATCTATTTGTAGATATTATTTATTGTGCAGTATGTTATAAAGTGTGAAATTTTGTTTGTGTACAAGTTTGTCTGTGTGTAAAAATCCGAAAGTGCCTCAGAATCGCAACAAAGTTGCAATCGAGTGTCGTGCATCTCATTAGCATATCATTATCCCTTCTGGCCTTTGTTTTCTGAAAAAAATTCCCACTGTTACCGAAGTGAGTGCTCTAATTAAAGCTGCACCAAGACTTCACGCATCTGAATTCGTCCATTGAAAAAATGAATTTTAATTAAAGCCGCGGCCTCAATTAGGAATTTTACGGTAGTCCAAAAAATTTACAACAAATTATTCTTTTGTTTTTGAAATAAAACAGTCTTCAAAACTATAGATGTCCTAGACAAAAATTGAGCAAAATAATGTGCATGTACATTTATTTTATTCACCTTAAAAAGCGGATACACTACCAAATATTATCATAGAATTACCAGCGTTTAACACTAATAGCCCATCAGACTTTCTAGAAATTTTGTTAATTTCAAGCCCTATGATCTATATAGAAATGCTCTGACAAAACTAGTTTACAGATATTTTATATTGTGTTGTACGGCTCCAGATTGTGAAGACTATTCATTTTCATAATGTGCTGTGAAAACACTGAAAATTATTTCCTTGACACAGTTATTTATAGCAGAATAACTTCCTAGGTTTATTTCATTGAGCTTGTTTGATGTTTCGGTGAAAAATGAATAAACTACATAAAGGCACCATTGAGGTCAGGTCTGGGTCGTAGCTGGGTTATGGTTTGAGATGGCTCAAACCCAGAAGTTTGAGTCATAACTACTTGAGTCATTTGCCCGGACACATATCAAATGACTCATGACATTGAATGACATACTTGATGTTTGATGTGATGTTTGTGCTGACTAATTTGCATATTTTTTTTATTACTCATAACACACTTGTATGGTAAATCTGCAGAATCACTATCGTTCGATTACTGTAAAATGACTAATTTTCACTGTGTTTAAATTTCGCTGATTTACCATTTCAGGCATATACAGTGGGTTTTAAATTCACAGGTTTTATCATTTAGATAATGTGTTCTCTGCTAAATTTTACATATTCACTGGGTTTTAATTTAGCACATTTTTCAGTCAGCGAAATAAGCAAAATTAAAACCCAGTGAAAAATTAACCCTTTTACAGTATCTACCTACACATACCATGCATTACAAATAACATAAAAAAACAATCGTTTTGATTGGTCAGATGGTTTTCAACTGTTTAAAATTTTAATTTTGAGTTTAACATTTTTTTATAAATTATCTGTATAAATCAAATTCTAATCTAGAACAACTAGAATGTTTATTGATTCATGTTTACACAGGGTTGGAAGATTATTATATGAACCATTATGATTGGATCAAAGCAGATAAAACGTAAGAGAGACAGTTTGGGAAATAGTCCAACAGTAATTATAAAGAGACTCAAGATGAGTTCCCCAAGTGTTGAACCTGTGAGAAAGGCAAGTTTGTTTTTAAGTCACTATATTTTTGAAATCACATACAACATTCCAGTAAGATTACAATGACTGTATGGTGCTCATATTCAGAACACAAATCTGTAAAGCTACCTTCTTTCTGTAATGTTCCTGCAGGCGATTAGCTAAGCCCTCATTTTCATTAGTGTTATTGTAATTACAATTTGAATGCATCTAAAAGCAGCATTTCACGACTGCTTTTCAATATTAAGTTAAGGTTTTTTTTTTTTAGTTTTTGTCTGTAAATTGCATGACAATGTTCAATATGTACATTTGTACAATCATGAGGCTATTGTTCCATGGCACACATCAGCGAAACTTTTATTGAGTTGCCATAGAGGGGCTTCACTTGTTCATTCCGTCCCTTGCGAATGGCAGATAAGATGCAAGTGACTAGTCATCGCCATATTCTTCCACTGGGCTGGGATTCTTGTCCAAAGGCACATGACTAGATGGACCAATCGGAATGCCGTAACAATTACTACTTACCGGTACCAGCTTTTTGTATCACTATCACTATCACAATCACTATCGTATTTTAAAGTATTAATAAAGTATTCCTCATTTGTATTACTTGTCTCCCTTACCACACAGGAGTTCTATCTATAAAGCTTCTTTGATTAGTTTAGTCTATCTGTTGCATCAGGTTTTCAATTTATTCTGACTATCTTTACCTTATAGAGTTCAGATGATAAGATATCTCCAAAAAAACCCATACTTGTATTAAAGCCGTTAAATAACACTGATGAATTCAGTATCAGAAGATCCAAGAGACAAGCTTTACAGGTACTGTCTGTATTCATGCATGTTTCAGATTAGATTTATGTTATGAGCACATGCCTAACTTACTAACAGAAACTTGCTTAACTTTTCATCAAAAACCTGCCTAACTTGCCATTGAAAACCTTCAAAACTGGCCAACAGAAACCTACCCTAACTGGCCAACAGAAACCTACCCTAACTCACCAACAGAAACCTACCCTAATTTGTCATTCAAAACTGCCCTAACTCGCCAACAGAAACCTACCCTAACTCGCCAACAGAAACCTACCCTTACTCACCAACAGAAACCTACCCTAACTGGCCAACAGAAACCTACCCTAACTCACCAACAGAAACCTACCCTAATTTGTCATTAAAAACTGCCCTAACTCGCCAACAGAAACCTACCCTAACTCGCCAACAGAAACCTACCCTAATTCACCAACAGAAACCTACCCTAACTCACCAACAGAAACCTACCCTAATTTGTCATTAAAAACTGCCCTAACTCGCCAACAGAAACCTACCCTTACTCACCAACAGAAACCTACCCTAACTCGCCAACAGAAACCTACCCTAACTCACCAACAGAAACCTACCCTAATTTGTCATTAAAAACTGCCCTAACTCGCCACAGAAACCTACCCTTACTCACCAACAGAAACCTACCCTAACTCGCCAACAGAAACCTACCCTAACTCGCCAAC